GTGTGTGTGTGTGTGTGTGGTGGTGTGTGTGTTGTGTGTGTGTGTTGTGTGTGTGTGTGGTTGGCAGAGGTGCAGTTTCGCAGGCCTCACTGATCCCAGCTGCAGGGGGAGAGGTGGGAGCCGGGCAGCGGGCCCAGATGGAGCAGGATGGAGCTGCGACAAAGATCCCAGCTGGGGCACAGGCCTGAGGGAGAGCGCCTTGTAGCGCAGACTCAGGGCAGCTGGATAGCTGCCAGCGGCGGGGTTAGCTCCCAAACACACCAAATGCTCACAAAGATGGCCGCGGGCGTACATAGGCAGCCTTTCTAAGTGACAGAGTGAGTAGTAAAGGCAGCGGTTTTCTTTTGTAAATATGTCTTCTGAATCCATAGGAGGGTCCGTTTCTGCACCCGTTTCACACTCTTAGTGACACGCATTCACACTGGGGGACAAATACTTACATTTAGCAGCTCTTCACTTTGCTTTAGCATCTCCTTCATTTCACTGAACTGGAACTGAAGCACGCTGTGGGCATGTTTCTCTCGCTCGTGTTCCTGTGAGTAACAAGACACAGCCTGACAACCTTGTTTTCATTTTCAACATCTATCTTCAACTTCAGCTGACATTCTGAGGACTGTGTTATGTGCATTACAGTCCCCATTAGGCAGTTATATTGCACGTATGTTTTATGTCCTTAGGTACCACCAATGTAGCGCTGCAACAATTAGTCAATTCATCTATTAGTTAACTTATTTATTTACTTATACTAATTAAATTAACTTCTCTGATTTCAGCTTCTCAAATGTGAATATTTTCTGTTTTCTTTAGTCCTCTCAGTAAACGGAATATCTTTGGGTTGTGGACAAAACAAGACATTTGGGGACGTCACCTTGGGCTTTGTCACTGATCAACATTTTTCACTATTTTATGGAGTAAACAACTAAATTATCGTTAGTTGCAGCCTTGCTTATGAGAGAATAAAATCACATGCCTGGTGCATTCCTTCTTACCGCTCTATTTCAAACTCAGAGTTGAGCCTGCAGCTCTCCTCGTGTTGCCGTTGCAGTGCCTGGAGTTTCCCCCGAGTCTCCGACAACCCTCGCTTTGCCGACTGAACTTCAGCTTCCTTCTGCTGGAGCTCCCGATCCTGCTGGCTCAGCAGCTCCTCCTTCTTCAGCAACTGATAGACATAAATGGGAAATAAATAACAATAAAATAACATACCATGCAGTAAAGAACGTGCTGCTACGGACTCAGGTGAAATCCAATCACACCTCAACAAACTAAGTGATTTAGAACACATTCAGTGCCACAGAGACTCCCCTATCCTGCACTCAGGCTCACAGACAAGTGCCAATCTCCCATTTTCATTTAAATCGCAGAATGACAAAAAGAGGGTGGTAAACTGCACTGTTTGAAAGAAATGCTGCAAATCCAACTATACAACTCCACATGTACGCACCATGTGTTTAACTTTAGCCAGCTCCTGCTGCTGAAAGCCCTCCAGTTCATCCAGGTCATCCCTTTTTTGGAAGAGTGCTAAGCTTTGCTCCATCATCTCCTCTAGCCGGGCTGACAGGGCAGCCTTCTCCTAAACAAACACAACAGGTACATTACACTACATGTGCAGCCAAGAAGCCAAAGTTGTGTGCTTTCACACCTGTACTTTGTGCACTGTATTTCTTTTTGCTGGGGCTACTAAAATGAATGGGAGTAGGACACAAGAACAACATCTGGTTTTAGATCATTTTCTAACATATCAGGGACAAGCCCTGAAATCATTTGGTGACACGCATACCGTGGTTGCCAAATGATTTGGCAGAGATATAGACTACATTGCTTATAACCAAGTTTAGGAGGTGACTTTTTCAAACAGTTCAAAATCAGCAGATAGCTTTTGAATTCATGCTAAAATCAAATATCTAATATAGGAGTGTAATGGTATGCAACATTCCATAGACACAGTTCAGCATGTATGTTTGTTTTGGGGTCGTGGTTTGAGGGTTCGATGGTACGATTTCAGTAAACAAATAAATGTAGAAAATAACATTTTTGTCATTTATATAAAAACACAAATGACAGTAATGCTACAGTCTGACCTGATCGTCAGATTGGTGTACAACTTGAGCTCGTTTATACAGGCACTTTGTAGCAGAGCTCAAGCACTGACCATATGCTTAAATCTTGTATTGTCTGCACTGAGTATGGTCACATATCTGCAGAGATAAACACTCTATAGCATTAGTTATTGATTTGGCATCTGCAGTGAGAGGCTGTCTGAATGCTGTGGGGAGAAGGACTCGCCTTCCTCTGTTTCTGTCTCATTCCACTAATCCAGTGTTTCCTAAATGGGGGTACGTGCAGATACGGGTACTTTGGAGTACTGATGACATTTTTAAAAAAAAGTATATAGTATACTATAAGTTCAATAAAAAAAATTAAATGCAAGTTCAATAAGCTAAATTTCAAATTCATATTTAATATTCCTATTTTCAATGTATCCTTTACTGCTGTATACTGTCAATTGCAGTAAAACCTCTGGAAAAGACTGGGCAAAAAAGAAAAAAAAAGCCATAATGCCATAAATTCAATGATGGGTTCTAAATATTTAACATGAAACATTTCTGTTTTTCTTAATAAATCAGACACCGACAGTGGCACACACTTCACAGTGTATCTAAATGCACTGGGAGGATCCTCTAGCTCTGACCTCTCATTTGTGTTTGCCATTTGGAGGAGGAGACACTACATGAGCTTGACGAACCAGAATAACCTGACTAGCATGCTGCAACTGATGGACAACAACCAGTTACCGTTGCATAGCTGAAACAGCTGCTGTAACTCACTTATTTCTTGTGCAATAGAACATTGGGTAATATCTCTTTTAATACTCAATATTTGGAGTATTTTATGTTGATTTATAGCGTTTATACAGCTATTTTGATAATAATATTTTGTTTTGAAAAGGAATCAATGTTCAAGTTCTTGGCATATGTTATGTTCTGTTTTTACTGTTTATTGTCTGATTTCTTCATAGAAAGTATCACTGTGTGGGGCCAAGAAAGCTCAATCAATATAATGTTTTTATATTCTATATACTCCTGACAGTAGAATAAGCCACTATAACCCTATATAAAAGGCACTGTCATAAAACATTTAGAATTACTGTGAACTTCTGAAAGTCATTGATCCTTGTTAGGTGTGTCAAATTTTAAGATATTCTATATAATGGTAAAATAAAAGGATAGACTTTTCAAGACTTTTTCATTACCTTTTCCACAACAGCCATCTTCTCCACGCATTCCTGCAGGTAAAGGATAAAAATAAATGATTACACAATCCACAAATCAGGACTGTACAAGGAGTGAGACAAGCATTTACCTGATCCTTCTTCTCCAGTGCTAAAGCCATCCCCTCTGCCATTTTGGTTCTGCTGGCCTGGTGAGACTCATTCTGGTCTTGAAGTTTCTTTATGGATGCTGGGCAGTCAAAGTGAGAGGAAAAGAGAAAAAGAAAGCAAAAAAGATGGAAACCATACAGAGATTTTGTATACAACCAAAAAGAACAGAAATATTAAAGTAGCAAAGACAGTGGCACCGTTAGTAGCTGTGAAAAGTTAGAGTCCGATTAAGAAGTGTATTCATCCCAGAAGCAAAGACAGGCAAAGACAAGCGATGCATGGCAACTGAAACACACGTTGTTAAAGCTAACACTGCAACATCTGAGTGTGAACTAAGAACAAAAATCCACCCTGAAGTTGACATGTCCTTGAAGATACACCTTTATTACAACTCAAAATACTAAAGCTAGAACTAACAACAAATCTGATAACTTTGCTATTCTTAGTCTTACTGAGAATACAACTCAACAATCAGTAAGTCTTTATGAGGAACTCTGAGAGGGGAGTTGTGGGGTCATTCAAATTAAAAGCTTCTAATATAAAGTGAAAAGATGACATTTAGGCCTGATGGTGGCACTAGAGAGTTACTGAGAGCCCAAATTGGAAGTGGTTTATCTTCCGAGGAGCATGAATGTGTAAATCTCGTGGCAACCTGCCAATTACCCCTCATGTCCAATGGATGCAGCTGTGTAGCTTTCCTGTAGTGCCACCACTCTTTGTTCTTCAAAAGTCACATTTCCAATAAAGTTTAGAGTTGACTTGTCAACACTGCATATCAAAAGGAGTTTGCAACTCATTTACGATAGATCTTTGTGGCTGTATTATTGAACACAGTATCTTATCTTTGCTTGTATTCCTATCTCCTGAATAGCAGTGTCCAAAATGAACACACACCAAATACGGTACATTTTGGGCTTGGCAGAGAAAAAAAATTATTGGGGTCACTGGCCAGGTAAATAATTTGCAATCACAGCTTGGGGTCAGGTCTCAGTTTACCTGCCAATAGCAGATGAGCCAAAAAGTTTATTTTGGACCCTGATCAAAAATATGAGGACAAATTTATCAGAAGAGCAAGATAGTGTCTCCTCTGGTAGTAAGCCCAACAAACCAGAAGGCATGTTGATATTTAAATAATGGGTGTGGCTTTTATCATCGTCATAATTCTCATTACCATAGCTAGAGTTGCTAGTAAGCTATATTTATATCATATATTCTTTTGCATATTTTGTCCAACTGAAAGAAATAGGTTCAAATCACATCTTTAGTAGCCACACATTGTAGCGAATGTAGACAACTATGAACTAAAGTAAATATGTGAGGGAAATTGAGGGAAAGTGGATACACCAACAAAGTAACAGACAATGCATACATAAGTCTGATATCAATGTAAACAAAGACCAGTGTAAAAGATCTGAGGGTGGATTTTTAGATTCAAAGGAAAAAGCATTCAGCGCTCCCAAAGCAAAAGGCCATAATATTAGCATCTGGAATAAAAAATTATCTTCATGGGAAGAAGTGATGGTTATTACAGCTGACAGACAGATGAGAGAAAGGAAGCTAATTGGGAGGAGAGTAGAGGTACGTACAATCCTGATGCTTTTCTAACGCAATTTCAAGCTTGTCCTTGGTCTTCTGCATAATTCGTAGCTGCTCAGCGTAGTCTAGTGTTGGGAAGTAGGGTAATGGGATGGGGTATCAACAGTATACATACATACACACACATACACACACATACACACACATACACACACCAACACACACACCACACACACACACACCACACACACACACACAACCACACACACAAAACACAAACATGAAGGAGGAACAGGCAGATGACCGTAAAGAGAGAGGAAGGAGAGAAAGTGAACAAAAGGAGAGGGAGAAAGCAAAAGGGAAAACATGATTGAGAAATAATGGAAGGTAAAACTATTAATGATTTTCTTATCTGAGAAAACCATACTGGTTAAAAGGCTGCATGAGAATGTGCGACTTTTAACCTTTTTTAGGGGTTCAAAGTCACATAAGCCACCCAAAGGAACGAGGAGTCATTACACCGGGTAGAGGAGGAAAAAAAACGCCCTAAAATTATAATATTATATTATAAAATATGTTAGGACTTTGTCCCATTAAATATACACCCAGCAAACATTTAAACAGAAACAAATGATCACATTCATTCTGAGACTCAAACAATATCTCCATTATCTTTATTCAAAAGATTCTCAAAGGCACTCTAATTAGCAAAGAAAACTTCAACACTTCATGGATCTCAACTATAATGCATTTCATCTGAAACATAATGTACATTATATTAATTCCAACATCTCCTGCACAACCATTAAAAATTCTATTGTCTTATGTGCACAAATAAAATGGAAAAAACAAGATTAGGACTGATGAAATGTAGTTTATTTTCACTACAAGACTTGCATTTACATATCTGAGCTTTCATACTGGTTCCTGACAGGATCTAGTCATATTCCTTTGGCAAAGATGGTTTGTTTGAGCTGCTGCTGCTGCTGGGCATTGTATTTCCACCACCAAGTGTTTAATGTCTGTTATGTGTGCAATGTTTGCTTTAGATGGGTGCTTCAGACAAGAAAAGATAAGATAAGGATGTTCCTAACAGAAGTGGGAGGTACAACAATCACAAAATAAAAGATTAGAAAATATAATAATATATAAATAATATAAGTATATACACTATGCAATATTCAAGTAAGAATGGTGTGCAAATATTTGAGCAGCTTGACTAAGGGCGTTTTCCACCTGAAAGTCCGGACCAAGGTCCGACCAACGTTCGTGTTTAATTACTTGTATACATTTGATCCCGTTATTTTCGGTTTCACATAGTAATTTTTCTAGCGCACTAAAGAACTTTCCATGACATACTTACGGTGTGTCGTCACCACGTACGTGTGTTGCGTTCCCTTTGATTGGTGAGTAGACGGGCGTGCGTCTCTGACGTTGGCGTGTTGTCATTTTTGGCGGGTAGTCTTTTCCGATTGAATGAAAATGAATGAGCAAATCCCGTTTGCGTTATTTATGGTATTAACTACAACATAACAATATAATCTCCTCTTCTCCCCACGTTACTTCCACGACTCATTTTTGCTTGTTTCTTGGCGGGGGTTTTTCTTCCGTTTTTTTTTTCTTTTTCTTCTCTATGATACTTTATGCCTTAAAACTTCCTGTTTAATTGCGGTCCCGAAAGATCCGAACCATTCCAAAAGTGTTTTCATACTGTTAAACAAAACCGAACATGTTCAGTTGGGATCCGGGGACCGAGACCACCTCTTTAGTTTCGGGGACCAAATTTTTGGTCTTTTGAATTCCGGCCGGGTGGTCCGTGGCACCTTTTGTCACTTTTGGTTCGGACCAAACTGAAAAGTCCGAAGGTCCGGACCAAATGAGGTATGTGTGAAAACGCCCTAAAACTAAACTGTACATGTAGGAATTACCGTAAATAATAGTTGGTCCGGTGCAGGCAGACAGATAGGTATATCTATATCAATCTTCTCATGATCTGGCAGTCATACACTAAATTGCTTTTATTTATGTGGCAGTGACTCACTGCAGAGAAAAATTGACACTTTAACAATGGGACACTATCTGAGCTTGGTAATCAGAATTGCCTTAAAAAGGCAGGAGGCTCACACATTTCTTACCCGACAGCTTGGCCTCCAGCTTCCGGATCTGATCATTCCTTCTGAGGAGCTGGGCGGGCAGGTCATCTCTGGAACTGCTGCCATCAGATGCCTGAAGACACACACACAGCATTAGGTAGCACTTAATATGTATGCTCTTCATAGTGGGAAATTTGAAGCAAATATCCAACAAAAGTTTCTTAGAAATCATCGAGTTGTGATTAGTAGGGGTGTAAGAAAAAATATCGTTGTGTTTGGAAAGTGAGGGCTATAATGTTGGATGGTACAAATATGGTAAATATAAATCCCACTGCATAAACCATTTTAATATGTTGGTGTGTTCTTTATACAATGACAACTTTCCTAAAATAAATTGTTTTAAGATTGCAACAAACAGCCTTGCTTACAGTAATATATCGCAGTATAATGAACTGTAACCCCCGTAAGATTACACGTACCGCCAGATTCTTGCCAATACACCACTCTCATGATAAGGGCTGTCACCACATCTGATTTTCACTTCACAATTATCATGGCCAAAAGAATTCACAATAACATTATTATCACAATATCTATAGAAAATTTTAAGAAAATAATAATGCATATCTTTTTTGGCAAATGATTTACCACCACTTACTATGTTGGAATGTGAACCACAAAGCAAGAACAGAAAGAAATGGAAATCAGATAGAGATAGAGTTGTTCTGATACCAGTATCAGAAATTCCCCCAATACTGCCTAGAATTTTGACAGATCCCTGGATACCAACTCCAAATCCTGGAGGGTATGCTTGATTGAGATCACAGAAAGATGTTCTGTTATCACACTACATTGGATGCTGTTGCACTACAAACAGCTCTGTAGAATATGTCAGTGGTATCTGGCTAGTCAGCTGCAGGAATAATATTGGATGAATTGAATGCAGAAAGGAAGCTGCGTAAAGTGTGACAGCCAAACTATTAAGTATTCATTGTACCAGAAACACAACGTCACATATGGCAGTACTGCTACTTAGTGACTTCACTAAATTATTTAGCCGAGTGCAACTGAGACGGCACTACAGCCTCAGGAGTCTGGCTTCCCTTGTGAGGGACTGCACTACCTTGTTAGACGCAGTGAACTCAGCTTTACCACAGATTCCCTTCACAAACTATAAGCACAGGGCTTCATGTTACACTGGCTGGTCTTAAGAATGAGTAACACAGTACCATGCCTTCATACAATCAATACAATAGAGACCAACCCATTAAGTCATCCCCATTCTATAGTAATATCAGTCACACCCAGGCTGTTATGTGCAACTGCCGGATTGGCAAATATTAGAAAAGCGAGCCAAGGTTTCAATCATAGCACTGACCTTAAATTCCAGGACTTTTCTGTGACTTTCCAGAACTAATTCAGAGTGACAAATGATGTGTGAGAAATGATATGACAAGAAATCTATCCCATTTTCCATTACGGCTGGACTGAAAACAGTCAATAAATGCATGTCGTAAAAAGACCCATTCAAAAAACAAATGTGACATTTAATGAGTTCCTCGAGAGAAGTAATCACATTTCCTGTCCTTTCATTTTCACCATGAGTACCATAAGATAAATTGTAAACAGTATACAATTGATACACAACGGCACCATGTTTCATGTCAAACTGCTGCTGTTTTATTGCTTTTTAGAATTGATATCCCAGTTTATATTAATAAGCGCATTACGCCGCTATTTATTCAGGGTTTTAAAGAAATTATTTTCCAGAATCCCTCCAGGACCTTTTTCTTGATAATACAGAACAGCTCACAAACAGCCATATCATCTATCAGTAGGGCTAGTATTGGCTTTTTTTTTACGCTGTAGTGTTAATGATAGTGTCTCAGGTTTATTACAGGTAATCAGCGTTAGCTTGGCTTTGTGGAGGCGCTTGGCTCCGTCTCCCACCACAACACATTTTTCCACTGCGCTCCTCCAGAAAAATAAGACTACAGTTTACTTCAGTTTCCCTCTCACCATAAACATTACCGGACAGCACCAACGAAGTAACAGGTCCAATTTGTTTTACAGAAGATTCAGGGGTTTGAGTAAGTTAAAACGTGAATTATTTTCAGCGTATTTGGTCAGTTTCATCTTTAAAAATGTCCAGGTTTTCCAGGACGTGTGGGAACTCTGATATTCTTCTGTGATTATCACTGAGAAGAGAGATGTGATATATTGATAGCATCTATACATTTGGCAGTGTTGCACACTGGGATGTGTCACAGAGGAGATTACTAATGCAGCTGGACCACAGCCATCAGCATCAACAGGACCTGCTCCAAGTATCTCTAACATTTAGGCCCAGGCAACCTGAATATCACAGCGCTGCCTTGCAGGTTGGACACATAAAGCATCTACTAACATTCAAGGTGCTTTGTTTACACACTGAGCAATGCAGTGCAGTTGATTCTAGGACCCGTTAGGCCAAAAACAGATTAGATCAAGTAAAAAGTTATGTACAGTTATTTATTAAATATACTGAAAATAGTTGAGAATTAGCCCTTTTTTTAACATAACATGGCTCGATTTGTTATAGAGGTATTGTGTTCACAACTGCTTTAGAGGAGTCACTGACTGGCCACAGCTCAAAGATGTGCAAAGACATAAGTTTCACTTCACAGAAAGAAATATGCATTGTTTTGCACAGTTTATACCCTACCTCAGAAATAAAAAAAATATTCTATCATTTGATAAACAAAATATAAGAGAAAACATATAATCATATTGCGAATCCAGTATAGTGATGTATCATTATATCACACTGTCCCTAACACATTCCTAGTGATAAGACACCAAAAGATAACACAGGTCTGCGTTTTAGCGAGAGGTGACCTATGAACACTCAATAAGTTTAAAAAGGATATACACTTGAGGTAATTCTTTTTAGTCAAATAATGCATGATGCAGTTTTATGGCTGGTAAAAAAAAACATTTTTGACTGTTTTTTGATATTTTGGTATTGGTAGATGAGGCAAAGGGTTCATTTCGGACCCTGGCTCTGCTTGGGCTTGGAGACTCGAGATTTCTGACAAAAACCCTGCATTATAAACAGAGACATAGAGCTTTAAGGATGTGCACAATTACGTGGCATGGGAAGTGGAAAGAAAGAAACTATAGTAGTCAGGATATCTCACCCACTTCTGCATCAACAATTATTTTTTCAAATGTGTTTCTTACAAGCCCTTTAATCCATAGAAGTAACATTAGTGCTAAATTATTACTTATTAACTACAGGAAACTGCCACTAAAAGCAAATATATAGGAGTATATGGAGAAGAACTGAAAGATTGAACCGTTTACTTTGTCTGATGATAGCAAAAAAACTTTCCTAACAAAAAGAAAATAATTGAGTTTCAAGTCAGGAACAAGTCTAATGACACATTTTTTGGTCAACATTTATCAGCTAATTACTCAAGTAATTAGACAATAAACTGACCTACAAAAGTTGATTTTTATTGGTAAGGTTTTTCCTGCTTTATTAATCCCTAAAATTTGTCACTGTTCACACCATAAAGTGTGACTGTTTTATATTGCATAAAAAGTGGAAAAAACACATGCAACAAAATGTCTGAACAATGGTTGGTTATGCACCAAAGACGTAGCACACCATCTAGAAAACCAAGATTTCAAAGCACTCAACCTGTGACTGGTGATGATTTCACAGAGTACTCACAAAGTCATCCCCTGAGTCTGCCCCCACTGAGGTGATGGATTCCTTGCTGATGGTACGCGGTATACGGACACCACTGCGAGGTGCTGTGGCCGCCTCTTCTGCGATCTTCTTCTTCAACTTGGCGAACATTACTGTCCTTTCAGTGTCTCGTTTAGAGTGCAACTTCCAGTTTCTTGAGAGTAAGTAACCTCGCGTGACCTCGGGTTTTACGGCTCCTGGTTCTGAGGGCTGCAACAGAGCCACTTCCTTCTGCAGTTCCACTCAAAACAAGTCTGTACTGGTGATTCCATTCTGCTACATCTAGAAAAGAAAAGAGATTGCAATGCCAAGACTGACAACAGTGGCCACTTGTCTGCACCAGTCATATGTCGAATTGTTGTAATGAGCCCAACAAGATCAAGTCCCACTCTTTTTGGTATCCACTAAAATCATCATATAATAGGCAGGCTGTTTTGACTCGTCAGTAACAGACACACAAATGCTAGCTGATTCTGGTTGTGGTTGTTTGGTCTGCCTGGTCTATCAGGCCACTTCTAGCCAAAAAAGATCGAGCTATAATTAAGTCTTACTCTGATGGCTAAAGAATATGTCAGCGGAATAACAACTAAGTGTTCGTCAAACTGATATGTCACTGTGGCTTGGGAGACTACATGTTTCCCACAGTAGACTCATATTTAGCCGATAACCCTGTTACTGAAAGCAGATGACAACCTTCTGAATGCTTCTTTTGTAATGCAAACTGCACCAGGCATCTAAATGTGTCATTGACTGTATGACATATATGTTTCATAGAGCTCAGGAAACCTAATTCTGGAGTAATTGTGTAATTTATGAAAACGACTGCACTGGAAAGCAAAATCAGATTTTGAGTTTATAACTAAATGTGTTGCCATGGCTGGCTACATACTGTGTCCTAACCAACGCAACCGTTTAGATAACGTGTGGATAAGTACATTTCTGCAAAGTAAAAGCTCTATCTCGTGTGTGTTATCGGCGTTAATCCTATTAGGAAATGTACCATTACATTGTCAGAGTATGTTTTGACAGACAGCTAGCCAGCTAGTTCTTCTAGCCATAACAATGAGAGTTAACGTTATCACCGGTGATGTTAGCAGTTAGCTTCACTGAACTCGCCTTTTTCTTACCGTTTTAACTTCGATAAAATATCAGTTCGTGGAGTTGTTAGGTGCTCGGTGACTGTACATTCGCCCTTTTTCTACATACAGTTAAGGAACCGCTATGGTTGTGGCAGTCGATGTGAACTCGCTGGGTACTATCTCGTCTGACAAGCTAGCTGCTGCTGCTAGTCAGTGAGCTACACGTAATCACCCCAACACAAGTGACGGAAGACGTCACGGCTGTGCTCTCTGTGATTGGCTAGAAGAAGTGAGAGGCGTGGATGTGTAGCTGACAAAATGCGCCACCTAGAGGCAATAAAAGCAATAGCAACTGCAGTTACAGAGCTGCAAATGAAGACATGTTCATTATTTCTGTTATTAATAATACAAAAACTACAAATACTCAGTTCAATTCGATTCAAATTGAATTTATTGGCATGGGAAACAGACGTTTACACTGTCAAAGCAAGAGTAAAATATATGTATACAGATTAGGAAATAACTTAAAATAAAGTAGAAAAGGTCAGTCACTGTCCCTCAGATTGTGGCATGTTAATACATATTTTGAGTGGTCATTTAGATGGTTGAAATCTGGGATTACAGAGTTTAATTTGTCAAAATAAATATTCCTTATATTATTAAATGTTTTACATTATAACAGGAAGTGCACCTGCCTCAACCTCACCTGACCACATATTCATAATCACATTTATTGGTGATGATTACTGTTTATTAGTATAGATATCAACAAATATCAAATGGCTGAGAAAAACTCTGTTTTCTGTGTGAATCCCTAGTCAAAAAGCCCTGTAGGAATCCAAAATCCAATTAGAAATTGTACTTGATTTTGTAAACAATCCTATAGGGTAAAGTCCAGGACTTTCTCCAATAATTTGTCGAATAAGAGGATGAGATGAAGAAGATGGTGCCAGAAATATGGACCAAATTAGGGAGTCCTCTCAAACTATTAATACCAAAACAGTCAATATTAGTGGCAAAAGAAGAATCTGCCAGAATTGCCCAGAATCGCTGGGGGACACTCTAAATACAGTCGCTTTGGGCAGGGAAAGGCGGAGGTTGTTTGTCCAGGTGGTTTACTGACACTAATGATCAATTTCATAATGACACAGGTTAGCTGCAGTCTACTTTGTCCAACTGTACGTATGTGCAAAATAAATGCAGATATTTCTTTCCTCCTTAAAGATCCTTCCAGACATGCATTACCATACAAATATTCTGCTTGGAATAATAATGTTTTTTTTTCAAAAAGTATAATATCAGTAATCTCCTCCTTCTAGCTCATTAAAAATTCCAGAATCTATGAATATGTAAATGTTATTAAGTCAAGTTTTGCTGCTGGACACAAGATGTCGGTCCTCCCTTCACTGTGTAAATCCATTCTCACAGTTGGACTGAGCCGACGTGCGTGGCTTGCATAGTTTCCTACACTGCCACACTGTACAGAGTGTGATACTGGACGCCGAGGACTCGAGCTTCCTAACTATGGTAGACCGTGATGTCACAAACTCATGGCCACGCCACTTAAAGATGAGATCTTTCGCAATGAGCGCAGAGAAAGCTTTCGCACTTTCAGCAGAATGAATGTGAAAACATCCTTCTAGAGTCAAACTCTGCACAGAGAGCATTCTACGACAGCCACACTGTAGGCGAACCCACAGCAAGAACAACTGGTCTTCTGAACCCTGGAGGCGGGGCTTTAACAATAATCGGACCAAACAGCCTATTCTGACCGAGTCAATCATCGTTTGCAGCAAAACCATCTAAGTGGTCCTTGTTCTGACTTGACAATACGGCAAAAATCAAAATGCAACACTCTTCTTGCCAATTGTTTTTTTTTTTTGCCCCATGAATAGCGCTGATGTTTGACCACGCATATTGATTAATGATTACGGGCATGGAGTCGGCTTTTTTTCCCTGCATCCCATGGCCAGATACGTCAATGTCCTGAAACTCCCCACAATTTTGGATTTCTTTATTTAAAGAAAACCCAGTACCCGCGGTGACACAGCAGAGAAAATAATCTTATGTCACAGGGAGCTCGAGTTCCAAATCCCTGGCAATTAGAGGATGCATATGTTGAAGGTACCCACAGTTTTAACAATCACTGAAACTGCTCCTGTTTGACCACGATACTGGGGCTGCCATGGTTTACACATTAGCTCTCCAGGAGTACATGCATATGCAGATTAGCACCTAACTACCACTGTAAGCTCTGCTGACCATTTGTCCAGCAATGATAGTGCCAATTTTTGGGCGCTTTTGTTGGCAAGTGCCTTTATTATCCCCGGCCTTAGAACCAGTTTTAATACATAAGCGACAACAACAAATAGAGTGAATATTGTATAGTAACGACTGCAGAGCTGGATTTGCTCGGCAGCAGTGGCATGTTTTGTTTGTATTGCGGGTCCAAACGGTAAACAGAGAGGTTTATGGACATATGAAATTTTAATCCCTTCCCCTAAGAAAAACACTGATAATCACCAAAGTGATTACTGTTAACTTCTCGCTCGCTGCAATGAAATGCCATGTGACCGTCGTAGCTGCCAGAAACTACAAAGGCCATGGGAGTGGGAATGACGACACTGACAGGTTGGCCACCACAAAGCAAATGCACTGCTCGTCATCCGAGACTCTAAATGGTACGCCTATACCGACACGTCCATATGGGTTCCACAAAGTGCTGACTGCCACCTGTCCCCTGGTTGGAATCTCTCCCTCTCACGCAACAT